GGAGACGTAACAATATTATATTTTCTCTAGTGTGTTATTTGTTATCAAGATGAGGGAAAACATGTGAATTTGGTGTATTTAGATTTTAAAAAAGATGTTGATAAGATAACACACAAAATATTTCCTAAGAAAACACACCCGTAAGGTTTTGGGAAAGACTAGTTACTTGAATTGTAGGGTGGTTGGGCAGGAGAAAGCAAAAAGTTGATATTAGTGGACTTCAGTCAAACTGTACCCTTCTTACTAGTGGATCGCCTCAGAGTTCGATGTTTGGGCCTTTGCTTTATTTCAATTACATTAATGATAATGATAGGAGTAAGCTTAGCAAATTAATAAAATCAATTGATAACATTAATCTTTTGGGTACTTCTAGCTGTATTGAGGATATGAGGTATTATAGAATGATTTGGATAAATTCATAAGTTGAAAAAATATTTGGCAAATTACTTTTACTTACAGTAAGTGCAAGATTAGCATAATTCAGATCACACGTTTGATATAGATATAAACACATTCAATAGAGTGACTGAAGAAAATCATTTTGGCATGGTGGTAGGTACGTCAGCCAAGTCATCGAAGTGAGAATCTATTGCTAGTATCAAAGCTAATATAATTTAGTGTGTATGTATACTCACTGATTAAAAGTCAAAACAGGTAATTAGTAATTACCTCTCTATACAAATCACTAGTTAGGCCTCGCTTAGAACATTGTATGCAGTTTTGGTCTCTTTACGTAAGAGATGTTGACTTATTGGAAATGGTTCAAAGAAGGACTACTTAGATGATTCGGTGGATAGAAGAGTTATCTTACACGTATAAGTTAAGTTTTATTGACTTTAATTTTTTTCTGGAGAAAAGAAGGATAACAGGCAATCTTATTGAAGTTTCCAAGATCATACAAGGGATCGATAGGATAAACGCCTCTGATTTCTTGTGATATATATTTTCCGAGGAGAATATAACGAGAGGACACAAGTTTAAAATTTGGAAAAGATAGACTAAGGTCCAATTAATACAGTTATCTTTTTTTGTCGTAAATTTATAACCTTGCGAAAAACTCAAGGGTATCTAACCATCCCTGTACTGTAGATAATAACGAAAGGTATAAAAATAATAGTTTAATATTCGTCTACCAGCATGTAACTAACTGTTATTTTTAAATTCAATTTTGAAATAATTGTTGGATTACTATAATTGAAAGTGTTAATAAAAGTAAATAAAAACTACATATATAGATGGCACTGTGATAGTATTTTTGGCATGTGGCGTGCCTTAGACTTATGGTATGCGATGGGATATTACATGTAGGCCTATACTCAATATGTGTTTGATGAAGTGTTGTGTTATGACGTTTTTCTTTCTATTTTTTAAATATATTCAGCACATATAGAAAGTATTTTTAACAATAGTGCTTAAATGAACACATTTTTTTAGGATCTTTTAACCTTCACTTTTGAAACTCCTTTTCACAACCTTTCAACAGCCATATTGACTTGCTGTTTAAAATATTGAAGGTCTCGTGTGAATACGGAAATCGATTACAAAAATGTCTGTGATGCTTCGAGTAGTCGGAACACACGTCTTGCATGGAAGTTCTCTTTGATTTAAAAGACGTACTGGGACAGGAAGGGTGAAGAGGCAAGCTTCTTATCCGGTTCATGTTGCTTCCGCTGAACTTTTATGAATATTATAGTAATAGTAAGATGTACATTACTCGTTAGGCTTAGAAAAAATTAAAATTATTATGTACGTGTCGTTAATCATTTAAAATGTAAGTTTGTAGTTTAATACCGTTTTGATGTACGACAGTCTCTTGTTAAGTTGTTTGTGATTGAAACTGTAATACTGTAAGTTTTAATTTGTATTACTTAAGACGTTTCCAAGTACCAACTAGTTAGACTAAGCTTTAATTAATGGCAGGTTAGTGTAATTTGTAAATAACCAGGCATTGATTAATTTGATGTTAGCAAATCATTAAAATAAATTTACTAAACACAACACATCATATGTGATATTATTTAATCATTACAAGTTCAAAATATTAAATGATTTAGATTTTTGCTGTACAGTGTAAGTTGTAACTTAATGATTAATCTCTGTGGTAGTGCAGCATTTAGATCTGCAAAGCCTAAATCTAAAAAAGTTATTACAGCTGTATTACTACACTACAGTGTAACACTGATTAATTATAGCTATAAACTCATACTATAGTTATAGTTCCACATTTTACACCCATCATTGTTATCTAGTATATGAGTGTGTTCTGATATTGATACAGAAATTGACAATGGCAAAATGTCCTTGACTGAAAGTTTGGAGGACTTTAGAAGTTTAGATATATATTAAACTTTAAATCATACATACATGTTTAACCCTAATTGTGAGTTTGGTATATGAAATTACAATTTATTGTGTTTTGTGAATCATTTGTTATTTAAAATGCTTGGCACCTATATTTTAGGTATAACAATGTAAGTAAAGAGATAAAAAAATATATTACTTTTAGTTTGAGCTACATACTTTTAATTTTGTATATAATAAGCTAATAAAGTTGTAGTAGTATTAATAGTGTTATTTTTTATTAGAAAGTGAAAAGTGTAATAGTACTTTGTTTTAGGTGGTTTGCCCTGCCTGATTCCCCCTTTTTCTTTTTAATAGTCACAATGTTGCCTGAAGTTATTTGAGTTTGCAGCCTGAAAAGTATAAAGTGTGAATTGCTTCTAAAAAAGTTTTGGTAATCCATAACTGTTTGGGTTCCTTTACAAATGAAACTGGAGTATTAGGCCTACAATGGTGTCAGCCTGAACTGTTTGTGATGCTATTTATGTCAATTTGTTTAGCATTCAACAAAAATAAGGACTAAGGAAAAGGCAAAACAGTTTCTTCCAATTTACTGTATGAGATAATGGCAGGAAGTTTTGATCCTTATGATAAAAACAGGTAAGTTTAAGACTATTATTGGAAATAGTTAAATTGTTGTCTCAATATACATTGGCCTTGGAAATTTGGTTCTTGTGTTAAACTGTAAAGGAGAGTATTCATTATAACTATCAGAATTTGAATTATCAATATCAGTCTTATTGCATACATTGTTTTTTTTTCTGTGTTGGAACTGGGAAAGTGAAGTATTAAAGTAAATAACAATTCCGATTCTTCTAGTAGTTTATGTAAAATATCACAATTTTTGAAAAACATTTTTTAATCTTTCATACTGTTATGAAGATAGCATAACCTTAAGATTGCTTATTTAAATGCTAAGTATGCTTATAACTCTTTTACAAAAAAGAGAAAAAATGTAATCAATATACAGAGCTAAATCTTGATGAAAAAAGCTTTGTGATGATACGTGTCTTGTGCTTCATTATCAATAGTTCAGCTAGAATAATGAAAATGTAAGATGTAAGGAGACAAAAGGCTATTTGAGCCACCCAATCTCTCATCAACAAAAAAACTTTTAATCCAACTCAAGTACAGCCTGTCATATCTATACTTATTTCACAAAATTGTAAAAAAATATTAAAGTATGGACAGCAAGTATCACACAAGTATAAGTATCACACTGGTACTTATAAAAAATAAAAAATTAAACCTACTTCTCAGGAAATTGTTAGTTCCCCTCTTAAACTTCTGTAAAGTGCCAGTCTCCACTGCTGCCGAAACAAATTCATCCCATAAATCAATTGCTCTTTCAGAAAGATAAAACTATTGTAACTACCCTAAAATCCCATTAACTAGTTTTTTCCCTAACTCATTGGTTTGCTATTTTTTTTAGCTGATCTTTTGTGTGGTATTTTATTAGA